TTGATGTTTAAAAAAATGTTAAAGAATCAGCCATTTGACTTAAATACATTTTTTTCAAAATGAGACTTTCAAATTGGCTATATTAAATGTTTTTGGAATTTTGTATCAAATTTTAAGTTTTTATTTTAATTATTAAAAAAATAAAATAAGATATTTTCATTCAATCAATTTTAATATTGATAAGAACAAAAGTTATTTCATTTGTCAGAATGTTCGATTTCCATGGGACACCCTATATAAAGTGTAATTTATGACAGTAGCTTGGGTCAGATCTAATGAGGATTGATTTTTGTGTTACTATTGTAACATATTGGGTGGTGGGGGAGCATTAACAAAGAGATGTGTAAGGCTATTATTATTTAATACCATAGTAGTATTATTTTGTTATAATGTATTTATGAAGATTTATTGTTTCACAGAGTGGCATTATTCTCGTAACTAGAATGATATCTGAATATTGTTATTATTACTTTGTATTTAATTTATCAATTAAAATATTTTAAATAATCGAAATTTGTCTCACAGGAATCTTTTTTTTCAATATGAAAATATTGATCTAGAAAAATTGGAGACATTCAAAACATTTTTCTCTGAYAATATTTAAATCATTAAAATTTATTCTTGTTGTTTCATACAATTAGCTACGAATGGAAACTTAATATTCATTTATATGTTTATATTTTTTCTTGTTTATTGATTGATTTTATTTTCTACAGATGTATCGTTTGACAGTAAGGTCCAGCAAAGAACCCGTGTCCATTGAAATTTGTGATCTTTTGGCTGACCAGTTTTAAAATTATGGTAATAGTTAACATTCGTGTAAAAACACCATGGAATATTTTTTTTGTGATTTTGAATTATTGTTTTATATGAATTATGCATGCACACACTGGCCTCATGTACACATACAAATCAAAAATTATCTGTGAATAAACCTAAATTAAAACGTTCTAAGTCTGAGATCGTATAGTTTATTATACTATAATTTTTATGTAATTTATTTAATTGTTTTTCTTGTAATGTATTTTGTAATGTATGTGTACATGCATGTGGTTAACAAGTGTTGCCAAGACCCCAAAGATGTTAAGTGGTAAAATTGAAAATTATTTTTGTTTTTTCTATAATAGTATGGAAAATGATTAAAATTTAGGTCACTTTTAAATTAATTTATAAACATCATCATTATTTTTGTTTTAAACTTTCAAAACTGTAATTATTACGATAATACTGCGTATTATGTGTGATAATTTTCCTTTTTTGTACTGTAATCTACTCTAAATTTAATATCTAKAAATTAAATAAAAAAGTTTCTTGACATTAACTTGAATAATAAAGTCCTGTTTAATTTATTTTTTCTTAAGAGCTAGGTTATAAAATGTTTTAGAAGTTACCACAAAAACTTAAAGCGAAATACACATGAATATAATGCTTGTTTTGTGAAATTAGGAATTTTTTTAGAAAAAAAATTATCTTAAAGTGCATTKTAAATATATATATTAGAATATTAAATAAATTTGCTAATATATATATCCTACACAGTTATTGTGCAAACTATATCTTTTAATATATAGAATCCTAGATTTATATAAAAATAATTTATACTCATCTATATATTATGTTACAAATATTGTTTTAGTCACTAGGCTAGTATTTTATTTATTATGCCATTTTAAACTATTTATACGAATCTATAAATGATAATTATGAGCTGCATTTTCATCCTACTTAGTTTAAAAAGTTGCATTAAGTGTTGATACTGGTGGTTAGTAATACAATTTTAAAAACCACATTCGTTAATTGTATATTAATTACAATCACCACAATAGGAGAAATAATCAATTTTATTTTTGAAGATTTTTAGTTCTAAATAATTGTTTCCATTACACAATGTGGTTGGTCTGATTTATTATTCACCATAAAAAAGTAAACTAGATATCAACCTCTTTATCGTTGATATGATTTATTCTTTCTAAATATGAATATGATTTATTCTTCCTAAATATGAATATGATTTAAATTTATTTTTATTAAATTAAAAGTAAAAACAATATTTTTGTATCATTTATCCAATTGATCTTTTTGGCCGTGTTCTCAATACTCCTTAGAATTCTCCATCTTTTATTATATTTATATTTGAGCCTAAAATTGTAATAAAATAACCTCATAATCTTATGTTTGACCATAGTTCAACTATTATAAAATTAAACTATACTTACTAATTAATATTCACCTGATAGTTCTTATAAGGACTTATTATTAACTTAAAATAATCTACTAGCTTTKCTAATGATATATTATATATTATTATACAGTTATTTTCCAAGTATGACAATATATTTAATTACTACTATATTATCATATTTTATAAACAATTTAACTTAACATGTGATCCATCCTTTTATTCTATTTATTTATTTTTATTTTGTATTCTATTTTATTAGACACTTGAAAATTGTCTAAAAAAATGTTCACTGAGTATATATTATATAATATGAAAAAAAAATTATTAATGTGACTATTAGTAATTATTTATTGTTAATTTATATCATTTTATACCTCTTATTTTTTTTATATATATCTTTATTTTATTTATTTCCATTTAATAATAATATTATAATTGACAATTGCAATTTATTTTACTGAATTTTTTGAGTTTTAAAACAGCGGTTGAATACATACAAATAAAACTAATATTACTATTTAGCTAATATATTTCAATGTTATCATTGACGATACAATAATATGATATATATGTAAATATATTAGTTGGTAACTATGGTTATGTTCTAGCACAAATACTTTTCTTAACTTGTTTTATCATTTATCAATATCTCAAGAACTAAATAAAACATAAAAGTGTTTACTGAGAATATTTATCCATTCTTATAATATATTTTTAATTTTATCTTTATTTTGAAAGCTATAAAATTTTAGAGTTTCCATATCCACTTATAATTGATTTCAATCCTTATATCCCAACACCATTATAACTATATTTTAAACAACAGTCAACTGATCTATGTTTTATGTTGATGAATTAATTCTATACAAATGTTATAGTGTTCCATCAGTTTTCTGAATGGTTAAAAAAAAAATCTACCAATATAAGTTGCAACAGACTCAACAGAGCCATGGTGTTTACAAATTACAGGGTTTTTTTTTTAAATAAATATAAGACCAACTTTTTTTTTGCTTATATTAAACATGAATTTTTTTTCTTTGTGAAAGCAGTAGACTTGTCTCTAATTTTGCACCTGGTACCAATTCATTTTGGTGAAATCGCAAAAAGTTGCTGGTGTGCATGTTTCTGGTATCGCTAGAAAATTACAATAAGTTTTATTTTATCACATTCACTTTAATAGTGAACTTAATGTTGGTGATTAAAATTTAGAGTGGATACAAATTTGTATAATTTAAAATTAATTTTCGAGAAAAATGTCAAGATTACAGCATAAGATTATTTATAGTTAGAAATTAAACCAGCTACTGTAAGTTATAAGCTGAAAGCTCTATAATAATTCAAATTATGAAAAATAACTCTTTGTATCCACTTTAGTACAGGATTATTAATTTATTGTATTTTTAATGTCTGATGCAAGCATATAAAAATTGTTTATAACATGTGTCATTTACATAGTTTCATATTTTGTATTAGGTACATTTTGTTGTTCATTGGATTTTATATTATAATAATAACATATTAAGCTATTAATATWTYCAATTTATTATTCACTTTTTTATTTAAGAGGGGATTGATATCAATATAATGAAATTTCAATAAAATTGATAAAATTAGTTGAGAAAAGTAAATAGGGCTTGAACATTCAAATAAACTATGAATATTTTGATTATTTACCTGATTATTTATTTGTTAATCTTTATTCTTTATATTTGGTAGGTATAAAATAGGTAAAAATATATTTTTTGCTTACTATTGTCATTATTATTGTTTTATTTTTATATTATTATTATTATATTGTATAATTTGTATTGTTTTTCAAATTGCAATTATTTTAATTTGTTAGGTGACGAGCAGTTTTAGTACTCCCATCGAATTTTTGTAAATCCATATAATTATTTGTCCATTATCAACATCTCTAATAAACATGTACTCATATAAATTAAGTAACTTTTATTTTTTTGTACATAAATAAATAATAAATACCTATTTAGTATTTATGTTTTAACAGTTATACAAAGTTAACTTTTGTGATATGTGAACTAATCGAATTGATCCTATAACATAAACACTAAGTTATGATTTGTTAATTACATAATATATTAATTATATTTTGTAATAAACAAGATTGGAAATGGTTTAATTCATAATGCATGGTATGCCTTGTGATGGAAGTTTTTTAGATGATAAATCTGAATTCAGCAATGCAGCATCAGTTCGATAACCAACAGTTGGTCCTAAATCAAAGCGATTTAATGAAAAAAAACTGGTTAAAGTGTTTTTTTAAAGTAAGTACATTTTAAAGTCAAAGAAACCTATATTCTCTGACAACCACTGAGGCTCTAATAAAATGTACATAATTTTTATCTCTTAAACATACTCGCTACATCTAAATAAATTTCTATGGGAACCACCCTTAATGTTGAAAATATGACTTTAACGTAAAAAAATAATCTAAATTAGGTATGTTAATGTCATTGGTGTTACCACCATTACTTAAAGTAATATGATCATTCAAAACTTTCTTACTTTTAATTAAAACTTATACAACATTGTAAACACTAAATGCCCATGAGCATTTGAATAAAGGATATCTTGACCCACCACCTTTTGTATGAGTTATCCATCCTCTTTCTATTTAACTACGAAATGATGGAATGTGAATAGAATTGTTTACTTTCCATTACTCTAGTCTATCCAACCGTAATAAGTCATATTAAAGGAATGGGAACTTTATAGAGAAAACAAGTTAAGAATCAAATAGTTCATTAGAAAAATGTGTTAAATATAAAATCAAAACAACGAAACCCAAACTAAAACCTGTTATTTCGTGATTGTCGGCATTTATTTAATTTGTTCGTTAAATATAAACAATACATACATCCACGATTAGAAAATATTTTGGATTGCTACGTAACGTAGTAATTATAAAGGAAGTAAGACTTGATCGAAACTTTTAACCCAACTTCTCTCCCACCAAAACACAACACGTCATCCACTACCAGACCGAATATCGTTGACAAGCTAACAAAACGTCTGCGTCGCGATTCCGGTGTTTGTCAACGGTTGACAAAGGTTTCGGGTCCAAATCGGACACCTTGACACGTATCGCGGTTAATGAACTGTCGGGGCGGAACGTAACAAACACGGAACAATCCCGGGCCGTGGCGGCCACCAAATAACCGTCCACCGGGCTCCAGGCGGTGTCGACTCCGTTGTTCGGCCGCAGTCGGTAGACGTGACCGAACTGCGGATCCCGCGGTGGCCGTCCGTCGTACTCGGAACACACGGCTACGAAACCGGTCGTTTGCATCTTTTGCATTGTCAGGATCTCGTGCAGCACGCAATGTGGAGGCATCGGGACCGCGTCGAAGTCGCACGACGGTTGGAACGCCCCCGAAACGGTACTATGGCCATCGTGGTCTTCATCCGAAGCATCCAATTCGTCAACCGGAACGTCCCGGCTGCCCTCGAAATCGCCGAGCAGAGCGCCCGTGACCAACGCACAAAACCGTTGGATCGTGCCCAGCGCCGCCTTCGCCGCACTTCTGAATCCGTCGTCCARGGCCACGAGCGGGTCACCGTCCAGGAACATTTTCAGATTGTTCTGTGGGTCCCAGAGCAATGCGCCGACGGCCCGCCGAACCCGTTCGCGGCGGCCAGAGAACATGTCCAGCGGACAGTAACCGCTCGGCCTCCGGACGTCGCCCCGGCCCAGTTTCAAGTACTGGTGCGCGCAGAACGGGCATTTGACCCGCACCATGCCGGGGCCGCTCGCCATGTCTTCTTCGTGCACCCATCCCTGTTTGGGTTTAATCTCGATACACCAGACGCCTGACACGTCCGTCGGCGGCAGCGTCGTGTAATCCGGACATACGGCTACCAGACCTCCGGCCCACACTAGRTTTTTGTGCTTCCGGTCCGGCGGTCTGTCCGGCCGGATGAGCCTGTCAATTTCACGCAACTCTTCGGCGGACACTCGCATCGGTACGGGCACGTCTACGTGACGGCCACCGCCGCTGAAGAATGAACGTTTGACGGCGTCGCAAAAGTTCAACCGYACGGATAGTGTTTCGGCCGCCGCCGCGGAAGTTACACCACCGCYATTGTTACCCTCTTTCATCGCCCGCACAACTATTCCATCGGCAGGCACCGACAAAACAACATTGGCGTTGCCCTCGCCCTTGTAACGCCACACCTTGTCACGTAATGTAATTTCCGGTAGAGTGGCGGCCCACGCTGTTTGTTCGCTCATATTATTTTTTTTGCCTCCCTACGATTTAGAACTGCGTTTCTATCTATATTGTCTAGAACCACCGCTGCTATGGTTTTAATAATTAGTACTTTTATTTATTTGGGCTAAGTTTATAATTATTTCGAAGTCTTGATATCTTACAAGTCTTCGGCCAGGAAACCGTCTACTGCMGAATTGAATAGTTCCGCATACCTTAGATGAATGTTGTGTTTACCTTCCGGATAGATTTCAAGCCTGAAACACACGAATGGAAACAATATTATATCAAGGGTGGTCGTACATTTATAGGTATGTCAGTATGTGKGTATTAATTATACAGAAATAATAATGAAATTAGATAGGCATAATTAATCATTGTTTTTGGATATGTAATTAAAATACTTTTGTAATTTATWATATATTGTTATATTCATATTATATATTATGTATTATCATGCATAATATTATATGTAAGTTTTGATTATTGAATTGCTTGAATTTTTATATAGTTAAATTAAATTGTCACTACTTCTTAGATACTCCTATTATTATTATTTAGAATCATACAAAAATTAAATATTTTCAAATTAATCATTTAGTATGTTGTCATTTGTTGTACTTCTTTAGTTATTGTACCTAATGAATATTTCAAAAATATATAACTGTGAAGAAGTTTTCTCATCAAAACTAATATTAAGTACCTATATGTAATAACTTACGATCCATATTTTATTTTTTTGTGTAAATGAACTGGATGCTCCATAGGCACTAAAGGATCTTGAGCACCATGTAAAATGAGAGTAGGTGCTTTGATTTTAGATAGTGCTTCTCTACAAATATCCCCTCCGTTTTCTTTTAGTATTATTTGAAATGAATCTACCCAAGCATTCCAAGTATCTGAAAAATACTGTTCGCCATACAGATCAATAAATGGTTGCCTCATGCGTGGAGACCATTTTTGTATATCTCTTATTTTCTCGTATAATTCAACATCTTTTTCAGTAACATATGCATTGCTACCCCAAACTATGAGTTTTTCCACTCTGTCAACAGCTTTGGATGCCATTATAAGAGCAGTAATCCCACCATCGCTCCAACCAAGCAGCGAATATTTATCAATTTGCAAAGACTAAGAGACCAATATTGAAATTAGAAAAACATTAAAAACACAAGTAGAAAAATATAAATACTTAAATACTTTCATAAGTGAAATGGCATAGTCAGCGTCACGATAAAAAAATCCTGGTGAAAAATCTCTGTCTGGTGGTCGACTAAAACCATAACCTGGTGGATCCCAAGCTACTATTGTATATTTTTCACGATTAAGAGTTTCAATTTGTGGCTTAAAATCAGTAAATATTGAACCTAAATAAAATTCATAAAGTTAATACCTATATAATGTATGTCACATGATATTTAATATTAGGTATTGTAGTTATGAATATTAACTCTAAAATACTTGATATGGCCAAGGTACCTAATGCTCCTGGTAATAACAGCAAGGTCTGTGGACCATTTCCAACTTTTAAATAATTAATTTCAATATTATTAACTTTGATTTTGGTTTGCTTCTGTAAATAAAAATGTGGTTTTTACTTAATACAATATGTAATATAATGCTTTTTTTAAAAACTTTTCAATTGATTTTAGATTAATTATACAAGTTAAAAGTATACCAGGTATTCAATCAAATACAAATAAGCATTATTTTTATTTTTATGCAATGTTAACAAAGCTTATATGCTTACAAAATTAAAAAAAGTTGGAATTTTTTAAATACTGGGATATTTATTAGTTATTGGATAAATATATATAAATGTATATCAATCGCCTATAGGTAGGTACCTAATAATAATGTAATTTCTAAGTAGGTAGGTAAACAAGCTAGAAAAAACTAATAATATGTCATGCCAAGTTCAAAAATGGTTAATTTAAAACTGAATATGCTCAAATCTCAATAGTGCATTTACTATCAACTAATAAGAATCAATATTTTGAATTATCTAGTACAGTTACCCAATCGTTAAAAAAAAATTATTTGGTAATTGAAATAAAATATTTATCAAATTATTTCATATTATTTTTATACAGGGGATACCTCAATCATAGCAACCACCATTTTCTTTAATAAATGAATTTATTCAAATTCTGACTTCAAATTTTTAAATTTAGTTACCTACTTAAGGAGCTTTTTCAAATTCATAAATGTTTTATTCTACTTAAGAAAAGTCCTATGACGGTATAAACTTCTGTTTTCCAAATGACTTCCTTTTTTTTACTGAGAATTATTTAGTGGATAAMATTTTGAAAATTTTAATGTACCTATCTAATTCAAAATCAAAATGAGTAGGTAGGTCCTTAGTTATTAAAATGTTTGTACTAAGGATGTCCATAAAAATGGGTTTACAAAAATATAAAATAACTGTAATATTGGAACTATTATTTATTCGATTTATTCTACTTGGGATGTTTTTACACATTTTTCATGTTGATAGACCAATGTTAATAATGGTTAAAATTTGTATATTGTCACGTGCCCATGTCTTATAAACCAATTTTTTTTTATCACTACAAGGAAGTTGAACTGTTGGCATATTGCTTGGCCCTAAATCCTAATACAGCCATTGCTGTAGACCTTTTAACCTTAGAACACAAAGTTAAAGAATTCAGAAACTACACGTACTTATAGGTGACGTAYATAGATTAAAGTAAAATTGTTTAGAAAAATTATTCATTGAATAATTTATAGTTAAAAAAGAGTGCTCCAATTTAAAAAATAGAAGYATATCTCTACAGGACACTTAAAGAAGTACATGCAATCTCGAGAAAGGTTAATATGCTTGGTGAATCAATGAATCATCCTAAATATATTATATATTTTATTTATCATAGTATACCTCTGTCGAAGAATGATGAATTTGGCTTTTCTTGCACAGCAAACTACAATTTCTGAGTAATTTATTAAATCTTACAGATATCATTATGAAATAGAATCCGTAGTTTGTCTGGTTTGAAGTCTTAGCAGTTTACGATTCGATTTGTACGACCAGCGGTCATTTGTCGTAAATAAATAATATAATAGTAATTAGTGAAACACCTCAGCAGTTTAGTAGTATCACGAACACGGATTCTCAAACCTCAACGATGTAACTTAAAAACTTTATGCATGACAAATTGTATTATAAATTATAATTTATAATCTATAACCAGGAAGTACTTATGATTTAAAAATACTCGTTTCTTATCATTGAAAAAATATCGTCCCAAGTCCACGATAAGCTTTATCACGAACTAAGATCACTA